ATGGGGTAACCATTGGCAGACTTACCTACCTGCTGGTTGAGTACAGTGCACTCTCTCTGGCTTCTGCTTTGCCATTTGTCACTGTAGTGTACACATATTCTATCTGTACATACTGTATTGTACAGTGGGTGGAGGCAAAATATACATTATAGCCTACTGCTGAGTTTGTTTGCTCCAATTCCCATTATGACCAGGTCTCACAGGCCATTCATTACCTTTGTTCGTAATACAGACCCTTCGTGATGAGCACTTCATATTGTGTAGATATGTTATTGCATAAATAAAAATTATTTTGAAAGGGTAAGAAGCAACTGCATTGATTTTGTGCATATAATATCAAGAGGAAGGAGGATCAGTGGTATCCACAATTTATGGCTGTTTTGCCAAGTCAAAAAAACTATATAACTGCTAGTTATACTGTATACTTATTAACTTATAAACAAGCTACATACAATATTTGATATCCTGTTTACCTGGAGTTTACCTGGAGAGAGTTCCGGGGGTCAACGCCCCCGCGGCCCGGTCTGAGACCAGGCCTCCTGGTGGATCAGAGCCTGATCAACCAGGCTGTTGCTGCTGGCTGCACGCAAACCAACATACGAGCCACAGCCCGGCTGATCCAGAACTGACTTTAGGTGCTTGTCCAGTGCCAGCTTGAAGACTGCCAGGGGTCTGTTGGTAATCCCCCTTATGTGTGCTGGGAGGCAGTTGAACAGTCTCGGGCCCCTGACACTTATTGTATGGTCTCTTAACGTGCTAGTGACACCCCTGCTTTTCATTGGGGGGATGGTGCATCGTCTGCCAAGTCTTTTGCTTTCGTAATGAGTGATTTTCGTGTGCAAGTTCGGTACTAGTCCCTCTAGGATTTTCCAGGTGTATATAATCATGTATCTCTCCCTCCTGCGTTCCAGGGAATACAGGTTTAGGAACCTCAAGCGCTCCCAATAATTGAGGTGTTTTATCTCCGTTATGCGCGCCGTGAAAGTTCTCTGTACATTTTCTAGGTCGGCAATTTCACCTGCCTTGAAAGGTGCTGTTAGTGTGCAGCAATATTCCAGCCTAGATAGAACAAGTGACCTGAAGAGTGTCATCATGGGCTTGGCCTCCCTAGTTTTGAAGGTTCTCATTATCCATCCTGTCATTTTTCTAGCAGATGCGATTGATACAATGTTATGGTCCTTGAAGGTGAGATCCTCCGACATGATCACTCCCAGGTCTTTGACGTTGGTGTTTCGCTCTATTTTGTGGCCAGAATTTGTTTTGTACTCTGATGAAGATTTAATTTCCTCATGTTTACCATATCTGAGTAATTGAAATTTCTCATCGTTGAACTTCATATTGTTTTCTGCAGCCCACTGAAAGATTTGGTTGATGTCTGCCTGGAGCTTTGCAGTGTCTGCAATGGAAGACACTGTCATGCAGATTCGGGTGTCATCTGCAAAGGAGACACGGTGCTGTGGCTGACATCCTTGTCTATGTCGGATATAAGGATGAGGAACAAGAGGGGAGCGAGTACAGTGCCTTGTGGAACAGAGCTTTTCACCGTAGCTGCCTCGGACTTTACTCTGTTGACGACTACTCTCTGTGTTCTGTTAGTGAGGAAATTATAGATCCAACGACCGACTTTTCCTGTTATTCCTTTAGCACGCATTTTGTGCGCTATTACGCCATGGTCACACTTGTCGAAGGCTTTTGCAAAGTCTGTATATATTACATCTGCATTCTTTTTGTCTTCTAGTGCATTTAGGACCTTGTCGTAGTGGTCCAATAGTTGAGACAGACAGGAGCGACCTGTTCTAAACCCATGTTGCCCTGGGTTGTGTAACTGATGGGTTTCTAGATGCGTGGTGATCTTGCTTCTTAGGACCCTTTCAAAGATTTTTATGATATGGGATGTTAGTGCTATTGGTCTGTAGTTCTTTGCTGTTGCTTTACTGCCCCCTTTGTGGAGTGGGGCTATGTCTGTTGTTTTTAGTAACTGTGGGACGACCCCCGTGTCCATGCTCCCTCTCCATAGGATGGAAAAGGCTCGTGATAGGGGCTTCTTGCAGTTCTTGATGAACACAGAGTTCCATGAGTCTGGCCCTGGGGCAGAGTGCATGGGCATGTCATTTATCGCCTGTTCGAAGTCATTTGGCGTCAGGATAACATCGGATAGGCTTGTGTTAATCAAATTTTGTGGCTCTCTCATAAAAAATTCATTTTGATCTTCGACTCTGTCTGGTTAGCGGCTTGCTAAAAACTGAGTCATATTGGGACTTGAGTAGCTCACTCATTTCCTTGTTGTCATCTGTGTAGGACCCATCTTGTTTAAGTAGGGGCCCAATACTGGACGTTGTTCTCGATTTTGATTTGGCATAGGAGAAGAAATACTTTGGGTTTCTTTCGATTTCATTTATGGCTTTTAGTTCTTCCCGCGATTCCTGACTCCTAAAGGATTCTTTTAGCTTAAGTTCGATGCTTGCTATTTCTCTGACCAGTGTCTCCCTACGCATTTCAGATATATTGACCTCTTTTAGCCGCTCTGTTATTCTTTTCCGTCGCCTGTAAAGGGAGCGCCTGTCTCTTTCTGTTTTACATCTACTCCTCCTTTTTCTTAGAGGAATAAGCCTTGTGCATACATAGAGTGCCACCGAGTTAATCTGTTCTAGGCATAAGTTGGGGTCTGTGTTGCTTAGTATATCTTCCCAGCTTATATCGGTTAGGACTTGGTTTACTTGGTCCCACTTTATGTTTTTGTTATTGAAGTTGAATTTGGTGAATGCTCCCTCGTGACTAATCTCATTATGTCGGTCTGGGGCTCCGCGCATACGTGACTGAACCTCAATTATGTTGTGATCTGAGTATATTGTTTTTGATATGGTGATATTTCTTATCAGATCATCATTGTTAGTGAAGATGAGGTCTAGTGTATTCTCCAGTCTAGTAGGCTCTATTATTTGCTGGTTTAAATTGAATTTTGTGCAGAGATTTAAAAGCTCGCGTGAGTGTGAGTTTTCATCAGAGCTGCCTCCTGGTGTTATTACTGCAACAATATTATTTGCTATATTCCTCCATTTTAGGTGCCTTAAGTTGAAATCCCCCAGGAGCAAGATGTTGGGTGCAGGAGCTGGAAGGTTTTCCAGACAGTGGTCAATTTTTAACAGCTGTTCCTGGAATTGCTGGGATGTTGCATCCGGAGGCTTGTAGACTATCACAATGACTAGGTTTTGGTTCTCGACCTTTACTGCTAAAACTTCCACTACATCATTTGAGGCATTTAGCAGTTCTGTGCAAACAAGTGACTCTGCAATGTACAGGCCAACCCCCCCCCTTTTGCCTGTTCACTCTGTCACATCTGTATAGGTTGTAACCTGGGATCCATATTTCGTTGTCCAAGTGATCCTTTATGTGGGTCTCAGTGAAAGCCGCGAACATTCCCTTTGCCTCTGCAAGCAGTCCACGGATGAAAGGTATTTTGTTGTTTGTTGCTGGCTTTAGACCCTGTATATTTGCAAAGAAGAATGTTATCGGACTGGTGGTATTGTTGGTACTGGGGGGGGATTTTTTTTTCCGGCATTAGTATCTGTTATCTGTTGGTTTGGAGTGGAGGCCATCGACTGTGGTTCCACTCCAGGAATGACTGATTTGGTGTACGATTTCTGCATTTCCTGCCAGTTTTTTTTCCTTCCTGGCACTAAAAAACCTCTCCCTCTTGAGTGGCTGTGGCTACCCAGGTTTTCCCATGGCCTGGATGTTTTTTTATCTTTTTGTCCCCTTTAGATGGTATGCCTGGCAATTTAAGTTATAGCACAGTCTTTCCTGTACTGAAGAGGTACACAGTTCAGGGTGAAAAAGCTTACAGGAAGGGAGTTTGCATTTTCATGTTGTCATATGGGCATGGCATTTCCTAGGGTGGTCATAGTTGCACGTCCCATCTGTTTTTTCCAGATTTCCCATGCCAGCAGATACCGAGTGCATAGTATGTGCACAGGCTTGGTTTCCGTTTGCCTTGGGTTTCTGTGACTGTATTCCCTGTTGGTGCATGTTTCCCTGTCTTACTTCTATCCTCCCTAGCACCAACAATGGAGCTCCCACCATTTGTTTTTGGTAATATATCCTCACTATTGCTAGTGGAGTCCTCTTGTTTGCTATTTCCTGCGGTATTTCTAGTTTGCAATATTGGTTTTATCTTATCTTTGACTACACTTGTTTCCCTACTATGGCTCCTGTCCCCTATGGGGTCATTTATATGTATTCCTTCCTGCGTATAATTCCCGACTACCTGGACAAAATCTCCAGCTTCACCATTACTGTCTCCCAGGACAGCATCTCCAGCTTCACCATTACTGTCTCCCAGGACAGCACCTCCAGCTTCACCATTACTGTCTCCCAGGACAGCACCTTCAGCTTCCCCATTACTGTCTCCCAGGACAGCACTATCAGCCCCCCATTTACTGACTACCAGGACATCATCTCCAGCCTTACAGTTTCTGACTACATGGCCAGTATCAAGGGCAGTACCATTCAGCCCGGACTTTTTATGTTCCCATCTGTTGTAGAAAGCTTCCAGGTTTTCTACGAAAGCAGCTTTGATGTTGACCTCTTTTAATACCCTTGTGATTTTATTCCACAGATTTATCTCATTTGGGCTTACCCAAAAACACTTCCCTGTTTTAATACTGCTTGTAGCTAGTTCTTGGATATCTGCACAAGGGGCGTGACACCAATATCCACAGAAATGACAATTTATGCATGTGGAAGCCCGTTTGTTTGACTGACCACAGACTACACACAGCTTCATAATGATTTGAATGGTTGATTTACTGCAATTCTACTAGCAACCTCTTGAATATTCTATTAATAACCTCTCTAGGTGGTGCACAACGAAACCGTTTGAAACCAGTCCAGGGTTCGGACCAGTCAAGGGTTCGGACCAGTCTATCTGATCTGATCAGTGGGTCACTTATTTAAACCATACTGGTCGGTGATTTGAGCTAACACATGAAGGATCTGCTGGAAATTATCTACCCGAGTAATATGTGATTTGATTGATACAAAAGTATAACTTGCGTGTTGAAGAGCCGGTGACTGCTGGCACTCCTACAATGACGAACGGTCGAGCCTCCACCCTTGTTTATCAATCGCTGTATCTAGCTTCTCTATTTTTTTTTTTTTTTCGTCTCCACCACAATAAATGCTATATTATCACTATAGTTGACTGGTGCAAATTTTGGAGGAAGGGCGCTTTTTCTGTAGTAAAATTGCTTCTCGTTGTGTATATTGCGACCGCTGGTAACTACAGGTTATATGAAATTCACAGTAACGTCTGGTATTTCAAGAAAAAGAAACTAATGAAAGTCACTCCACTCCACTAAGTACCATTATAATACTGGTTAGTTGCTACTACAACACTGTATTCTGCTATTCACTGGTATCACTAGATTATATGCGAGTACACTAGCAGGCCAGGAAGATTATTAAAAACAGCTGACCTGTGGTAAGTTTCTGGCGACTTCTGGCACCTGCCTCTATAGGCTTATCACTTCATTTACAAATTCACCTGTTTTCAAATGACACTTTAGCCTTTATCATCAATATACTAGGGAGCCACTGTAGTATACACTATACACTATGTATACTCAATGCTTTCAGGGAGACTTTCTTTCCTCTGACACAAAGTTCAATTATTATTATTTTTTCCACACGGGACAGGCCTATGATTCCCCTCTGGCAGTAAACTCTGTTAGGTAGTGCACACAATTCTCCCTTTTTTACTCAGAATATAATGTTTTCCGCCCAAGATTGGTTCCAGGCGCTAGAGGGATGTATCGTATAGGATTGATGACACAAATTAAAGTTCTAGCACGTAAGAGCGACCGTGAAAACACCAGAAAACCGGGAGCACAACGAGGCACGCTGACACTGTCAAACCCCAACAGTTAGGCATATCAGGTATATCAACTGATTACTTTGATTTTTTTGTGTAAGAGATGGGGACTGTGTTTGAATGATGGGGACAGTGTGTGATGATGAGGGTTGTGCGAGACTGATGGTGAATGGGTGAGAATGATAGGGACTGTTTCAGAGGGATGGCGACTGTGTAAGGATGGCAGGGACTTTGAGACTGATGGGGATTGGTTGAGTGGGATGGATACTGTGTACACATGACTGGAACTACTCGAGAGTCATAGGAACTGAGTGTGAGTGATGAAAATTGTATATAACTGAGGATGAGAAAGGTTATATGTAGATGCTTTGAACTACAAATGAGTGCAAGAATCGTACCTGCTATATAGCAGAAATACTGAAAGCGGATAGTGGAGACATTTACAAGAAGCTTTTGCCTGATACGGGTAGCGAGTTGAAATTTATTTGAGGGAGTTTCAGATGAGAGAGACTAAGAATGGTGATGACCTGAGTTTGTTACATGTGTGTAGTGTGGACAGGTGCGATGCTAGGCGGGGGCTTAGCAACGGTTCTCAGCAGTCTTGTCCAAAAGAACTGCTGCCCTTCGCCTTCGGGAACCCAAGCTAGATAGGTGCGGGTTTTGAGCAGCAGACGCAGCTTTTTTGACTGCTTATCCTCTGGGATGGGCTCCAGCAGCACCAACACCAGTTTATGCTTTCTCTCGTCAAGTATTCTATTGCTGACCATTTGCAGCTCGAACATACACCAGCTGCTTTCCGCAAAGGCTGGAGTCAACACTACCATCACCTTCGAAAGTAAAAAGTAAATATGAGCCGCCAACACTCATTGAGAAACTATTTAGTATATTGATTCAAACAGTTATGTAAATGTAATTATCAAAACAATACAATGACAATGACAGCAATTATTTTCATAAGATTTCAAGAAAAAAATACTATTCTCGTCACCTTATTAATCTTAGGAAATATAAAAGGTTTTAAAAATACATTGAGTAAAAATATATCTATATTAGTTATGAATAATACGTGAAGCAATACGAAGTAAATGGTAACTTTTAAAAAAGAATACAAAAATGGAAAAAAAAATACAATTCAGCAAATTTGTAAAGCACAGGAGATGAGTATTACCATGCGTAATAGCGTCTTAAGTCCGAAGGTCAATAACGTCATACTAAGATACTAAGATGCTAATAGAGTATGTCGGTCAGTTCTGGTCACCGTATTACAGAATGGATATAAATGCTCTGGAAAATGTACAGAGGAGGATGACAAAGATGATCCCATGTATCAGAAATCTTCCCTATGAGGATAGACTGAGGCCCCTGAATCTGCACTCTCTCGAAAGGCGTAGAATTAGGGGGGATATGATCGAGGTGTATAAGTGGAAAACAGGAAGTAATAAAGGGGATGTAGATAGCGTGCTGAAAATTTCCAGCCAAGAGAGGACTCGCAGCAATGGTTTCAAGTTGGAAAAATTCAGATTCAGGAAGGATATAGGAAAGCACTGGTTTGGTAATAGAGTTGTGGATGAGTGGAACAAACTGCCGAGTACAGTTATTCAGGCTAAAACGTTGTGTAGTTTTAAAAATAGGTTAGATAAATACATGAGTGGGTGTGGGTGGGTGTGAGTTGGACCTGACTAGCTTGTGCTGCTGGGTCTGGTGCCGTGCACCTTCCTTTAGTGGAGGTGACCAGACTGGGTGGGTCAATAGGCTAATCCCGGGGGTGGGGGTCATTGGGCTAATCCAGATGGGGGGGGGCATGGACCTGCTGCTCATGGGTCAGTAGGCCTGTTGCAGTGTTCCTTCTTTCTTATGTTCTAATATTCATCTGCTGGCCGATCCTTCGTGTATCATGAGTTAGTGCTAAAACAATGACAATAACCAACATTAAATTCCAGGTTAGTGTGCGTTTCTGTGTACGATAAATGTTACTGAAATTGTAGTTGTGTGATGGTACAGTGAGGCAGTATTTACAGTAAAGTAATAACTTTGAGGCAAGTACGGCGAGCTAGTAATTGCAGTAAGGCAGGAAGTATAATGTGTGATTTAAATGAAGTGAGAAACTAACCACTGTGAAACAGTAATTACAGTGTGGTAGCAACTACATTGTTCTAGTAATTTTAGTAGGTAAGATAGCTTGAGTGATGTTACTGGTCACCTCGCCGGCTAGTAGAATGACAACATTCACTAGACGAAAATGTAGTTCTGCCACTGTGTAAGGTACGCAGTCACTGAAAATCTCGCTAATCACAAATTGGATGTTACCACTGGCTGATCATCTACTATGTAAGACTTAGTGCAGAGAAATCCTTCCAGAGCTACTGAAAACAGTGCTACAGTGAAAAACCATTCTGTGTGGAGGGAGCAGCAGGAAGGTGTATTTGGGCGAAAAGTTTAGATACTTGGACCAAATGCTGAGGGAGTTCAAATATGCATTTAGAATAGACAATCTCGTAAACGCTTGTCATTTAATGCTTAAGGTTGTTGTGAAGGTAAGTAATTTGTCTACAAGCATGCTTGATCGTCGTGTGCAACAGAGTGCAAGTTTAATATCGGATGATATTGCTATACTGATGCTAACCCACCATGTCGCTGTATAGCCCTTGTGGCTTAGCGCTTCTTTTTGGTTATAATAATAACCTACCATGTGATGCACGAACAAGTGACTCACGGTCCAGCCAGTGACCTCACCGCACTTGACCCCACTTTATTCACCTGACCTCTGCAGATTATATATTTATTTTTTTCTCTTTTCTTCTGTCCTAAATTGATAGCATAGTCATGGTGCACGTGTGCGCATTCACCTACTTCGTGGCAACGTCTCGAACATGACTCTAGCAACGTTCGTGACGATCACCGTACAGGTGAAACTGTCCAACCTCCTCAGTACTAAGGACTCTTTCATCGTTGTCTGCTTTAACAATGATGAAGCCTACAAGATCATCTCTACCTCGGCTACGAACGTTCTCAACTACCATGACTTCGGAGTAGTTAATTACCCTGCGCTGAGGGGCCAAGAAATGGTTGTTCGTAAAGAAGCTGGATAGTGACTTCAACAGCCAATCAACAGGCGACTTAAGATATAAATGTGATACGAGATAAAAATGTGAAAAAAACTTAGAAAATTGGGAAATACCTTAAAAGGGGTTATACTTCGGGAAATATTTTAAAAGTGGTGCATAAATGGGGAATACTTTAAGGATGGGAATACCTTAAAAATGTGAGAAAACTGGAGTTAAATATTGAGAAACTTTTATAAAACATTTTGCTGCTGGTTTAAATTAGTATAAAAGTTATGTAATGAGAGTTGAGGTGAAGTAAAACCTGAAATAAGGATAAAGGATGCAAGTGAGGTTGTATAAGGATGGGAAAGGATAAGGAAATCTCAGAAAATGAAAAGGAAAGGTAGTAAAATATACGAGTAATGTGAAATATGGGGATATATAGATGTGACGAAATAAGAGAAAAATATGGGGAAATGAGGGAAGATATACAAAATCTTAAATTATGGTGAAATATAGGAGACTTGGAGAAATATGGTGAAATGTAAGGAAAACCTTAATTATACGTTGGCAGTTTGTTTGATCAGGTTTGAAATGTTTATATCAAAGTGATACATTTCCAGTGAGACAAATTTTCTCCTAGTGAAAGCATGTCTTGGGAAATGAATTATTTTTCTGTCATATGAAAGACTTTTTCTCAAAATAAATTTTATACAAAATGAAAGAATTCTTAGTAAATGAAATTTGAAGGTGTGTGTTTCTAAAGTTGTCACTTTGTCTGGCTTTTTTGGGGTTATCCCAGGTTCTCTATACACATGATAATCTATATAACTGTATTTGTGTATACCTGAAAAAACTTGCTTAATCACTCGTGATGTCATGCTACCTCAGTGGGGTACATATATAATATAACAATATTAAAGTTCCTTGAAAGTTAGTGGTAGTTCTGTGTTATGTCGATGATATTATTGATTATGCTTGTGATTTTTGTAAAGTTGTGCTGGTTGTCGTTTATAAGCTCATTCCTTTCTAGGTGCTCCACCACTCTTCTGATAATCTTTCCCATGATTGTACGCAATACATGTGAGTGACACTGGTCTGTATTTTAATAATGTGTATCTGTCTCCTTTTTTTAAAAACTGGGACTACATTTAATGTTTTCCATACCTCAAGTAGTCTCTGTTTCGATAAATGTGTTGAAGATTATTGTTAGTGGTTCACATAGCGCCTCTGCTCCCTCTCTCAGGACCCATGGAGAGATGTTATCCGGCCCCATCGCCTTTGAAATATCTAGTTCGCTTAGCAGCCTCTTCACTTCCTCCTCGGTCGTATATATCATGTCCAGCACTTGGTGTACCCCACCCCTTCCTGTCTTCACTGTGAACACTGCTTTGAATCTCATGTTGAGCTCCTCACATACTTAAAGGTCGTTTTTTGTAAACTGCCCTCCTTTCTTCTCCATCCTGATTACCTGGTCTTTGACTGTTGTTTTTTCCTGACATAACTGTACGACAGTTTTGGGTCAAACTTGGCTTTCGCTGCTATGTCATTTTCGTATTGTCGTTGGGCCTCTCTCCTTACCTGTAAATATTCCTTTCTTGCTCTTCGACTACTCTCCTTATTCTCCTGGGTCCTTTCAAAACATTCTATAGTTCTTCCATTCTCTGACACACTTGGTTTTAGCCTCTCTACACCTTTGGGTGAACCAAGGGCTCGTCCTGGCCTTCTCATTATTTCTCTATTTCTATGTGTTATTTATGTGTTTTATTTATTAACTATAGTATATAAAAAGTATCTACAGTATATGAGGCGGTAATTACAGCGAAAGAAATAGTAACTACAGTGAGAGAGATTACCTACAGTGAGCGAGATTACCTACAGTGAGCGAGATTACCTACAGTGAGCGAGATTACCTACAGTGAGAGATTACCTACAGTAAGAGAGATTACCTACAGTGAGAGAGATTACCTACAGTGAGAGAGATTACCTACAGTGAGAGAGATTACCTACAGTGAGAGAGATTACCTACAGTGAGAGAGATTACCTACAGTGAGAGAGATTACCTACAGTGAGAGAGATTACCTACAGTAAGAGAGATTACCTACAGTGAGAGAGATTACCTACAGTGAGAGAAATGGTAAGTACAGCAAGTGACGGGTCTACCCACGGCAACAAATTAACGAAGTGTAGTTTTTTATAATTTTATAAAATTCGGGTAAGTTGATAAGTAAGACATAAATGCAACACTTAGCAGACTTCATCAGCGGCAGCAGTGGCACCCAAGCTCGGTCATTTTTTTTTTCACCAGTCAGAGCCAATCAACGCTTCTATGATGGCCTAATTGCAAACCTAACTGCACTAGCGTACTTAGAACCCAGAATGACCCAAGATTACCAACAGTGATACCAACAAATCGAGAAATTGACGATCGAAGTGAAGACTGTCCTTCAAACCCAGACGAACACTTACTCCAAGCTGTGAACAAATATAGCTTCTCCATCTTACTACAACTCCTGTATTACTGAGACCAAATCTCAGAAGAAACAACAGCAAGGAAGCACCCAGAAATCGATTATTCCACATGACCCAGCAGGGCGCCGGTGCCCCGGCCACCGCCCCCTCACTACCCAAGGCGACGCATCAACAACAACAAACATGGCCGACTATCCCTCACACTCTTCTGTCTTCATAGGATTCAACCCACCTGATACTCTCCTAGGTATAACCAACGATCCTGACACTTAAGTCATACATCACCACCCTAAAGGCGGATAATATGAATC